TCCAGTGGGGACATAATTACGGATTATAATGACTTACTGTCTTTTCACGCAGTGCGTTGCATCTCGCACATAAACATAAAATCATGTCTGCATTTGTGATCGGAGAAATGACAAACAACAAGCCCTACTCTACACTGCTCAAAAACTCGCTTTAAATATATAAAATATAAAAACTCTTTAAATATGTAAACGTACTTAGTCTGTGAGTCAGAACAGCCAGCATTGTAGTCTACTGTACCAGGATCAGGAAACAGTCCTCCATAAAATGTTCTGCACACATCTGAATATTTGGGTTGAAGTGTTCTGGAACAGTGTTGTAAATACAACTTACAGCGTCACACACGGCGGCCTAGAGTGAGCGGAGGCGGTGGGCTTGAGAACGGCGAGAATTCGACGGAGGCTTGCGACGACCCCGGGCTGGACTCCGCTTCGTCCACGGTGAAAGCCGATCTGGCGATCCACAGCGCAAAGTTGTAGTATTTCCTCAGCAACCAGCACGGATCAGCTCCAGGCATGACGAAGCGGATATCGTCCTCTTTTGGAAGGCCAAACAAAGTAGTTTCACTTTCACAACGAAGCACACAGCGCCTTCACGACACGGCGGCAGCAACAATACTACAGCGAGAATAAAAGTTACGCCTTCTTTCTTTGCGTGAACATTTGGGTGGCGTTATGCAAATCTTCCCACATAGTGACGTAGACATGTGGGGGCGTGTTAGAACGAGCCGTTTTAGGTAGGCGTGGCTGACTCTTAACTTTTATAAAGAATATCTCTTTGGATTTGAGACTTTAGTCTTTGCAACTTTACAGATCTTCTTTATGCACCAAGAGATTGTATCACTCCAAAGAGAAAGGAACAATTGAAATAGCATCATATGACCCCTTTAAAAAAATATGCACAGATGAATAATTTTCATAATCACCTGTATCATTCAATAAGAAAACAAATGTGGGCAGTTTTTTATTTTTTGTAAAGTTGTGTATTTTTCTGAAGCTCCGTATTAGCTCTGCAGTTTCCTTTCATCTCTTTCTCCCTCTGTAAATGCAGCAGTGCAACTGCATCCAGATTTTTTTTTTTAACTGTTATATAATTTTTTGAATGCATGTCTTTGCAGAACGAGAATGTGCACCGGTCTGTGAAGCCCCAGATCCTGTCTGTGTTTGGCGATATTGCTCTTGCCATTGGTGGTGAATTCAAGAAGTACCTGGACATTGTGCTGGACACTCTGCAGCAGGCCTCGCAGGCACAGGTGGACAAGGTAAGCAGCACAGCCCAACACCTCTGTTCCCCAGACGGACCACAAACACCTGTCATAAACCAGAGCAGGGCTGGGGATCACGCTTTCTGACGACGACTCCTGTTCAATCGGTGTGAAAATGACTAGTCAATTTAGTTGAGTTCTAGATTTAGTTGGAGCTCTAGGGAATTTAGTATGCGGTTATAATTGTTGTAATGGCCAGTCTGGCACAACAGTGAGTACGTTTACATGGACAACAATAATCCGATTTTAATATGATTAAGACAATACTCTGATTAAGAATCTACCAGATAAACAGAGATTTTTGATTACCTTAATCCGGTTAAAGTCATAATCGAAGTAAACAGAAATCTAGTTAAGACATGTGGAGTATTCCTATTTTAGTCGCAATAGGGCCTTTCGCACCGCGGGAACCTTTTCGTAGTACCAGAACTAATTGTGGAACTACCCACTTTTTGGCGTGTTCGCACCGCCGGAACTGGGAGCGATTTTAGTACCGGACTGCCTTTTTCGAGAACCAAATTAGCTCCTACTCCGGAGCAGGGTCTAACCAGCACAACTGGTACTAATCGTGACGCAAGTAGACATTGACTGGCCAAACGCGTATGAAAACGCCCTCACCCACCATGATTTAAAACTCTGTGTAAACATACTGTAAGCATGTCAACTTATTTCGCAAGTATGGAGAACAGCGATAGATGGACGGACGCTGAAGTGCAGGCACTTGTAGCAAATGTAGCACTGCCAGTTGTTGTTGGAGATTCTTAGTCCTCCTTTCCGTTCTATCAATCGCTTTACGTATACGTCAACTTTCCATGTTCATTATTGTGAAACCCACGAGACACAACAAACACACAGCTCCGATCACAGCGTCCTCCATCCTCCTGTTGTTAACGTAGTTCTTCTTTGTTTCCGTTGTTGAATGCTGTGCACAAATGACGTCACTGTTGATCGGCTCCTAGTACACACTGTCGGTGCGAATGCAACCCTTTAAATGGTACTGGGAAATAGTTTGCGCAAAATCGTCCCAGTACTGTACATTTATTTCTGGAACTAAAGTGGTGCGAAAGGCCCTATTATTGAAGTGCAATATAGACATGTAAACACCTTAATCACATTATTACCATTAGACTTTCCGCCGCATTTTGTGACAGGATACACACACACACGGCAGTGCTCAACCGTTTGACGGCAAATAAAAAAGCTTCAACACTCTACGTCTGTTTGCACGTACAAATAATTAACTGCGCTTTAAGCTTTCATAAAATAAAAAATGAAACACCCAAAACTGTACATGGCATCATCACGAAGACGAACTATGTTTATACATGAAATTCCGGAGGGGACGTCAGATGGCATCACGTGGGGATGGAATGACGTGTGCCATTAATCGAACTACCGTATTGACCCGAATATAAGACAATGTTTTTTTCTTGGAAATACATCTGAAAAAACGGGGTCGTCTTATATTCATGGTCTAGACTTTGACATGTCAATAATACACCCACAACAATAGATGGCGCCAAATACGCATAAAACGAGTGTGCCATGAAATACGTAATGTAATGCGTGTTGTAAAGATCGCGAGTAAAAACAAAAGAGAAAGAAAAGCTTACAGCTGCATGAGTCGTGACTGTCACGTTAGCCTGATGGGACCAAACTCTCTTTGTGATTTTAAAACGTAAGACAGTACCCAGATTTGAAGACTACGGTAAGATTTAACTTCTACCGTTAATAAGATTTTGGTAGACTACTATTAGATGGATAGCCTAAATGTCCTAATTCAGATGGCCTACCGTTTTTTTTTTTATTGGATTTTCAAAAGTGGATATTTTTTTAATGTGATTGTTGGTACATTTGACCGGTTTTTACCGTACTTTCAAAACAAAAATTAAAATAGGAAAAATATGATATATGAAAATAATTGAAGTCAAAATGTGTTTTACTGCGAAAAAACAAGATTTGTTTTTTAAAAAGCCTTTTTCCAAAAGGTACATCTGGAAAAAGGGGGTTGTCTTATAATCAGGGTCGTCTTATATTCGGGCCAATACGGTATGTACTATAACATGTAAAACGGGAACATGAACGGAATATTCTAAAAGCAACTCATGGAAACACCATAATCATAATGTTGGCTTATTTCGAATAAGGTAAATAATTAGATTACTGATGTCCACGTAAACGTAGTGAGTGTCACTGATTACATAAATGGGTTGATTCTTGTAACACTTAAAAATGGACCCATCTAAACTTGATTGTGAATGATTTAATATATTTCAGTTAGTGGTTTAGTAAATGTTCTTGTTGTGTAAAAATCTATGAAGCATGTAAAGGACTTTTCACACTGAACTCGAAATTCGGTGCGATGATGCTTTTGAATCGAAACAATAGATCCCTAAGAGGCTATGCACACCAGGCACGATCATATGCAGCTCATGGTATTTTTATAGCAATAAAGGATGTTTATGACAATAAGCAATGTGGCATTATTAAACATACAAAGAGTGCTTGTCTGCCTAGAATCATAATCAACTATAGATCACAATCGGAAGTTATTACAAGCACTTGATGATGGTTTA